CACCACTTCCAGTGTGTTGGTTCACAATAATGCTCATCCATACCCCGCTAGACACACCCAAGAACTTTTGAAGCAGTTCCATTGGGATGTTTTTGATCACCCTCCCCCAATAGCCCAGATTTGGCACCAAGCGTCTACTACTAAGGAATTTCAAACCTTGTAAGACATTATGACAAGTGCCTCAGTTTGAATGGTAATTATATCAATAAGTAATTTAATGTTGTAGTTTTCTGATGTGTATAATAAAAGTTCTGTATCTGTGTCTGTCATTGATAACCAAACAGAGGTTTATTTCCAAATTGCCCTCATATTTCCATCTCCTTGAATTAAGTCTTCATCATCCACTCCTTCAACATGCATACTACTCAAACTATCTAAAATAGCTATTCTGTAAGGAAAATGTTTCATAATATAAACCTGAGCCTCCATCAGGGTTAGACACTGAAATATATTATACTGAATATTTACTCTTACGTGAGACAGATACAAAACCCATGACTAAGAATTTAAGTTCACTTATGTAAAACGCCCACTCTTTATTGCTATGTACTCTAAATTCTCCATTGACTGCGATGGAATTGACCATCCTTATCAGATGACTTTACTGGCACAGTTCATTACATTTGACAAGTGAAAAAAGGAAACATCTGCATAAAATAAATCAATCCATAATAATAATGGCTCAACAATATTCAGAGAATTAAATGAATATTTGTATGGCATGTCACATATTCGACAATTCCTGAGAGAGCCAAAGCTGAAGTACTCATATTATGAGTCTAACTAAGGATCTTTCAGATCAGATCCTGAGTAAGTAGAAATAATCGGTGATAGCAGACAACCCAGATCCTCTATTTACAGAGTTTTCATTTAAAAGACCCTCCTTATTTTACCCACAAACACTGAATTCCCCTGATGGGAGATGGAAAAGTACAGGAACTAATTCAGATATGATAGCTAGTCTTCTCCAAACTAAAATTATTTTATATTGGCACACATTTTGTACTTAGGTAGTCCTCAACTTACAACAGTTCATTCAGTTACAATGGCACTGAAAAAAGTGACCTGACTGTTTTTCACACAACCATTGCGGCATCTCCATGGTCATGTGATCAAAATTCAGATGTTTGGCAATTGACTCATATTTATGATGGTTGCAATGTCCTGGGGTTGGATGATCCTCTTTTGCAACTTCCTGACAAGCAAAGTCAATTGGGAAGCCAGATTCACTCAACAACTGTATTACCAACTTAACACTTGCAATGATTCGCTCAACAAATTTGGCAAGAAAAGTCGTAAAATGGGGCAAAATTCACTTAACAAATGTCTCAGCAACAGAAATTTTGGGCTCAATTGTGGTTGTAAATCGAGGAGTGCCTGTATGTTCTAATATACAGTGATCTCAGATTAACAAATATGTTTACGTACAGAGCTTCTTGTCGTTGCTTAACAGTTTCAGTTGGTCCCTTTTAACTTACACATTTCTAAATATAGTCCCTTATTATGTTAACTACTTCAGTCAGTTTGGCAGTACTTTCCTTCTCCAGAAAGGAAGCTGGAAAGGAGGAATACTTTTTCTTTTTCCTGAGCCTCCTGGGAATGAGAAACTTGGACATACTTCCCTTAGCCAGTCTTTCCAGTGCAGCTCTAGTCCTTTCATCAGCAGGTCTCCTCTGCAGAACTCCCTTGAGTTTGCTTAACTATTAGACCTCAGTCTGCTTTCTCTGAGGATCTTTTCTTCAACTAAAGTGCCTGCAATGGCATCAGCTCTTCCTTCTTGATACACATACAGCATCTCCAATTCACAATGTAACATGCAGCATGACTATTGCACCACTTTCCCTGGCAAATCTCTCCTTTATAAATCTTACATCGGAAGGAAGATTTGCTTACTCACTGGTAACTTAATTAATCCAAGACCCTTCTAGCTTTTACATACATGGAAGACTTTATGCAGTTGGCAAACAGGAAGAAATTCCAACTTTGAGACCAAAGTACAATCCAGCCAAGTCTATCGAAACTCCCCAACAAAATACCCTCTTTCAGGAAAAGCACAGCCCATTTTGCCATGTTTAATAAGTGAAATTATAAGAAATCTCACTTGAATGCCTTCAACAATATTTGCATAAGGAAGGAAGGAAGGAAGGAAGGAAGGAAGGAAGGAAGGAAGGAAGGAAGGAAGGAAGGAAGGAAGGAAGGAAGGAAGGATCGTGTGCCAGATTTTCCACATAATTTCTCCTTTAGGTTTATATATTGTACAGCAAGGAGGCAGATAAATTGAGTAATCAGATTTCCTAGTTGCCAGATTTGGGCCTGAACACTGTAACAGCAATGTGAATAATATGAGGCCCAACTACTGTGGTATTTAATCACTGATAAGGAAAATATTTTGAAATATTTTTCATCCTTCATGCATTCAAATGAAAAATTAAGTTTATGAAAATAAATGTAAAGCAAAACAACAGATCTGGCTTTTCACGTATCAATATTCCAAATACAGTATTTAATTCAACACTGAAATACAAATGCTTCAAACAAGGTAAATCAGACATTTTTAAAAGCATTTTTTTCAGTCAAGAGAAACATTTACTAGAGAGAAAACACAGAATTCCATATAAAGACTTTGTCACAGGTTATTTTACATGTACTCAGCTTAGTAACCTCAGAGAGCCAATACAAGCACACTTGGCCTTTAGGCAACACACCAACAAGTACTAAAAGTACTGGTACTCACAGTTTACTATGCCATTTTCCCCCTTACAACTTGTTTCTTTACTACTACTTCTCTTTGTGAACTCTATTTCTGGAGAATAGTAACCACAAACTATATTTTCCTTAGGTTGTTTCAGGTTGTTTTAGTTCCCAAATGAGCACCACAACTCCAACATTGTCTGCCCCAGTTGCTTCTCTACTTAGCTATTATAGCCACCAGTTGCAGAGCTGGCTAGAGAGAGAGGTCTTAAAGGGACAGGGCACCAGCAGACCAGGTGCTGGCCATTTTGCAGGATGCTTGTCCTCTAAGACAGGAGTCCCCAGCCCCCAGTCCATGGATTGGCACCGCTCCGCAGCATACCAGAAGCCCGTCCATGCAAACAAGCAAAGTCCATTTGCTGGATACAGGAAGCACAAGAAACTACGCCCCCTTGGTCCATGGAAAAACCTCTCTCCATAGAACCAGTCCCTGGTGCCCAAAAGGTTGAGGGCCTCTGCTCTAAGATACTTCAAGCTGAATAGTTATAATTATTATGGCCCATCACTGGGCAAATTTTCAAAACATTAAGGAGATTAAAAGTTTTGATTATGCTTTTCTCAAAAATGTAAAGTTCTCTTAAGTGAAATAATTCAATAAACAAAAGCTAACCATACTTTGTAAAAATAAAAAAAAGAAACCATTAAAGGTTCTTTTTAAGCCATCTCAGTTAAAAACAGGAAAGTATTTAAACTCAACATTTCATTTTTTAAATATTGTTTTGCTCTCTTTACGGAACACAAAATGAGAGTTAAATCTTTCAGAAAGAATGTAGTCAGAATACCAATGTGGGAAGCTCCCCTCCCTTTCCTAGAGAATGAAATATTTTGGGGACTATTAAAAGAAGCAGAACATTACATTTCCCCTAAAGGAGAAAAGGAGAGATATCTTCTTAAAGGCAGAAAACTGCCCAAGTCTTCCTGCTATAGGAAAACAGTGTCAAGCAGAAACCTGAAGAAGCTAATCTTTAGGAATGGAGATTTTGTAATCCATTCAGAAAGATTGGGCCACCGTATTCATAAACAAAATGCCTTCAGCCACAGCTTCCACAGAAGATTGGAACTGATGGCATTAGAAAAACAAAGACTCCTAAAATCTACATTCCACACCCAGCTCCAAGGACAAGGCATGACCTCCCAGGCACAATGGGAGTCAGGCAACAATAATAAGAATACTAAAAGGGCACACTCAAGCTACAGGACAAAGTACATTTCACAACAAACAGGCATCTTAAACACAAAGCCCCAAAGAATGTATAAAAACCAACCTACTCTCAACTCCATTTTGTCAACTGTCCCAGAACCACATGCTGTTGTTCGTTCTGCTCATCAATAAACAGACCTTCTTTCCTAAGCAGCTAGCCTCCATTTTATTTTTCAGCGTCTTTCTCCTGGCTTGGAATCAGATTTTAAAATGGTAAAATTTGCAACTCTTACAAATATATAGAGGTTTCACAAACAATTTCTTCTAATAGAAATAGTTTTGACATAGACTTATTTTCTCTATTCTTTTATGCAGTTTCAATTATTTTTCTGAAGAAAAGTTTCTCCAATTTGTGCTTTTAACATAAAAAACAGAGGTTAAACCTCTATTTTAAGAATATCTGTAATACATACTTTTAAAAACAGAAGTATTCCTTATCTTTGTTCCTATTTTTACCTCTGTCTTCATCTATCTAAATATAAAAACATATCTCATTGATCCAGCAGGTCTTGGAAGCTAAGACTGGATAAGAAACATTAGAGATTTTCAGAGCTGCTGGCTAGAAAGTAAAATATATCCTGGAAGAAGCAGAAGCAAACTGGTTCCAGGAAAACTTCATCAATAAAATTGTGAGCAACCAAGCTCCTATTTATATAAAAATTTTCAGAAATATGGAGTCCTTGTGGTTTCTGAGTTTGCAGATGTTTCATGAGCAACATATATTCAAACTATCTGTTCTTTCTGCTATTTATTTCTTATCTAGAAACTGTGCAGAGTTTTACTACCAAAAAATGGATCCTAGCAAAATTTTCTTCAATGCTATCACACATATCATGGCAAAGTTCATAAAAACCTCTGATAATATATTTTATTTCTTTGCTTTCACAAACCATTTGTTTATATTCACATTCAAATACAAAATATAGTCATTAAACAAGGAAATGTGTTTTTATTTAAACACTTTTGACAAAACTGCCTGTCCAAAAATTACAGCAAAGTGCTCCTTGTCAGAATAGAGGAAAATGATAACTGGGTTAAAGCAATTTACCTTGTTTGTGAACAGAAACCTGTTTTTTTCCACTTTGCCAGGTGTGTGGACAGCAGAAATTGGTGGAGGCCAAGTGTGAGTCATTTCCTTAGGAAAAAATGAGAGAAATTTCAAAAATATAAGGCATTAAGATATTTTAAACTTGAAAATCTAAATTCTAAAACAAAGGATTTTGTGGCAGTTTTGTTGTCAATATATTCATTTTTTAAATAACAAAAAACCCAACCACACCAATATGCATGAAAAAATGATTCCACCCATTTTGCATTATCTCACCCTCTGTCAGCCCTCTCAGGTAAAACAGACAGGAAACATAACTAGATGAAGTGATTTTACTTCATTGTAACAGAATCTTGCAAGTCTCAAAATACATATTTTTAACTACTTGATCCAATAGGGTAGGTCCTTCCTAAGATTATTTCTCTCATTGTTAAGCCACTGAGGGCTCCTGCTTCTCTTACCTATTTGTTTCCTTCCTCTCTTTCCTCTCATTCCCCAAGATCATCCATGCATTCCTTTACACCAGACATGTCAAACACACGGCCTGGGGCCGGATGCAGCCCGCGAAGTGGTTTCATGTGGCCCGCAAAGCCATCCTGGAAACAGTGAGGGAATGACCCCCTCTGCCTTGGCCCTGGCTCAGGCCGGCTGGGAGCCAATGTACAATTTTGTGGCCATCTATGCTGAAACACACTCAGTCTTAGCTCCATAAGGCCACCTGGAAACAGCGAGGAACCAGCCCCTGCCGCGTCGCCCCACCCCCTGGGTGCATGCTGCGGAGGGGTGTCACCCTTTGTGAGGAATGAAGAAATGTACCATCACCTGGAAGTGGCCAGCAAATGCCCCTCGCCTACTTCACATATCCGGCTTGATGGGCTCCAGGGGAGGGGTTTCGGCAGGCAGCAGGGCGCTCTCCTGACAGCGCTGAGAGGCTGAGCTGGGTGGCATGAATCTGATGAGAAGCGCGAGGCCTTCCAGCTCCCAGTCTGCCCAATTTCAGCAGGCAGCAAGGTACAAAGCTGATGAGCTTCGCACCACCCGGCTCAACCTCTCGGCGTTGTGAGGAAAGTGCCCCACTGCCTGCCGAAACCAGGCAGGATGGGGGCTGGGCAGCCTCATGCTTGTTTTTGGATTCATGCCGCCTGGCTCAGCCTCTCGGCGCTGTGAGGAGAGCGCCCCACTGCCTGCTGAGACCGGGCAGGCTGGGGGCTGGGGGGCATTGTGCAGGTAATGTTGACTTTCACGCTGCTCATGGCATCCCCTCCCCCAAAGCCCACTAAGCCAGATATATGAAGTAGGTAAGGGCCATGTGCTGGCCACTTCCAGGCGATGGTGCATTTCTTCATTCCTCACAAAGGGTGACACCTCTCCAGCTGCATTTTTTGCCTGTTTTTCTCCTTCCCTCATCTCAAATATTTTCTCACTACTCTGTACTTAGGAAGGAAGGAAAGAAAGAAAGAAGGAGAGGGAGGGTCTCAGGGTACCTCTGCCTTAATCCTGCCCTGCTGCCCTTTCACCATCCCCTTGCCCCTCCTCTTGGCCTATCCTGGGGGTCTCCCATCCTATTGCTAAGGAAGCTTTGGATACAAAGCCGGGTCTCCTCCCATGGAGAGGGAATGGGTCCCCCTCTGACTTTGCCCTCGTACCCATCATGAGCAACCTGGCTAAGGAGAGCAAGCACAGCAGCAGCAGCCTTGAGGAGGAGATAAGTGCAGCTGGGCGCTCCCTTGGGGAAGTGGGGCTGGGCTTGGTGCTGCAGGTGCTCGAGCGTCAGGCTGGGTGTTTGACCTCTGCTGCCCAGGGCTCCGGGCAGCCCGCACCACCATCCAGCTCCCCCCGCATGGCCTGAGAGGAACAGTGAGGCTCATCCAGTGGACCATCCCTTGGCACTTGTCCTGGTCCCACCCCCTTCTGCCAGAGACCCTCAGATCTGTCCCACTCCTGCCCAGGCCCCCACAGGCACCCTTGACGCGAATGATGTAGAGCTGGCCACGCCCACCCAGTAGGCCACACCACTCCATCCAGCCCACCCAGTAGGCCGCACCCACCCTGGCCACACCCACCCAGCCCCCAAGTGCAACCGCAATGCTGATGCGGCCCTCAATGAAATTGAGTTTGACACCCCTGCTTTACACCTTTCCCAAAAGCATGCTTCACAACCACACAGCCACCAAAGCTTGCCTGCTGCTTATTAATTGTGTATGTCAGTGTTTTTTTACTCTTGATAACTCTAAGATGTATGGACGTCAACTCCTAGTATTCCCCAGCCAGGATAAAATCCACATATCTTAGAGTAGTCATGATTGAGAAACAGTGATGTATGTATTCAAAAGGAATCCAAAGATGCTTTTTCATGAGGCAACTGGACTTTCTTATTTTTCTTTGAAAAGATTTCGCTTCTCATCCAAGAAGCTTCTTCAGCTTGGACTGGATGATGGGGAATGAAAGTATTTATATTCCTTGCAGACAGTTATTCATTTGCATTCTTTTAGCGAGTTGTTAGTACTACCTGGAGGCTTATCTGTGTCTTCAGAGTGACCTGAGTAGTGCAAATGGGTGTGGAGCCTTCTTGGAACTATTGAAAGAAGGCTCCACACCCATTTGCACTACTCTGAAGACACAGAAAAGCTTTCAGGTAGCACTAACGACTCGCTAAAAGAATGCAAATGAACAGCTGTCTGCAAGGATTATAAATCCTTTCATTCCCCAGCTGTTAATTTAATTAATTTGATTCTTTAATTGAACTGAATTGATTTTTGATTACTTTCATATGTTTTTGGTATGTTTTTGTTTTTGTTTACATTTTGAATTCTTTGAACTGTTATAAGCTGTCCTGATTATCAAGTGATAGATAGGCTGGATGTAAATATAATAAATAAATAAATGTATCCTTTGCAGCAGCTAGTCATTTGAGCCATTTTTCATTTGTTTTTCACTAATGTCTTCTATTATTATTGAATATGAGATAGCTGACTCAGTACATAGGTAATGACAAAACAGTATACATCATACTGAATCCTTCTTTCACAGTTTTATTTTCCACTAAAATGCAGTCTTTTATTTTATTGGACGCCACAAAAATTACAGAATATCATCTCTGCAGGAGACATAAGTCAATCATTTTTCAAGCAGCTTCAGTACCTGAATAGTCTATTGGACAAGATCACGTTGTGAGAGTCTTTTTTTATAATGGTTGTGGTAATGTTAGAGGCGTGAATGCCTATGTACTTTTATGCAGATCATGCTTAGAATCTGAACAATTTGCAATGAATATTAAATAGAATGATGCAGTAAGGAGTATAGCTCTGAAAATTAATGCTTGAAAAATCAAGGTAGTAGTTTTTCATATGGAAAATAGACTGAAAACTGAAAATTATACATAAATGAGAAAATACCAGAGAAAGTATACTGTGATTTTTCCTCTAGGAACTCAAGACAGATAGAGAGTTACTGGCTCAGTTATCCAGGTTGCAGGTTCAGGTTAAAGTTGAACTTGGGTCTCTCTGGTCCTAATCCAATATGACAATGGCTTTTAGTGTATTTTTGCAGAACGTTTAGTAAAGACAAGAAATGGAGACATTTTAAGACATGCAAATACTAATAGAAAGCTAGTGAGAGATCTTGAGATCTTGCGAGAAATTAGAAAGTCTGACTGAACTCTTTTTTTTGTCCCACAAACACGCAGCGAAGGCTGAGAAGCAAACGGAGAAATGCAATGCAGTTGAAAGGCAGGTTAGTACAGTTAAAAAAAAAACGCTTGGGAGAGGCGAGGGCATCTGGGCGGTGGTGGGTGCGGTAACCTTACCCTGCGCAGGTTAGGCAGGTGTCTGGCAGGCAGAGGGAAGCAACTCCACCCCCCTGCCACCTGCCTCACCTCATGGTGGCAGCAGCAGCAGCCAGCCAAGCAGAAGGTGATCTAGCAGGAGCAGCCAGTAGAGGCCAAAAGCGCCCAGCCGGCATGAGAGCTACAGCACCTGCCAGGGCCCAAAGAACACCAAGTTCAGCCCTTAGCCCGGCAACTGCAGCACTGAGTTGTCGTGCAGGGTGGCACTCAAGCAGCCAAAGGGGTGGTTCCACTGGCGGCCACTGGCAAAGGGCCCTGGCAGGCTGGCAGTGGGGCGGCACTCCGGATCTGGGCCAACTCATCCCGTGCCAGGCTCGGTGCCCTTTCTGCCACCATCCAGCACAGCCACACTGGTACCCTACCTGGTCCACCACCACGCTCTCATTGCCGCATTGCTTCTCCACCCCATGCACAGGCCCTGTCCCATCCCCGTGCACTCGCAGCCTGTTGTTACCAGTAAGGGCAAAAGATAAGCCCTCCCCGAAAGTAAAACCTATTGCTTACTTCAGAGCCCAAAAGAAAGTAAGACAGGGACTTCCTTTCAGGGAAACACAGTAGAACATTTTATATAAATTGTCTTTATAAGTAGCTGCCCTCATTATTTTGTAGTTTCTTTCCCATAGGTTTTGCCATTTTTCTAGCTCTAAATTGTGCCCAAAGTTTTTTGCCCAAGTTATCATTGTTTCTTTAACTTGTTCATCTTCCATCTTTAAATTTAACAGAAAGCAGTACAGTTCCTTAATCAATTTGTCATCTAATGACAATAGTATCTGGTCTAACATTGTTTGGTCTTTGTAAAAATCATATATTTTTGCGTCTTTCTCATATCTCATTTGCATTTGCAGGTGTAGCCACCATGATAACTCAATGCCTTCTCATTCCAATTCTTGTTTAGTTTGTGGTTTCCCATCAGTATTCAAAATATCTTTAAAAGTCACAAGTTTCTCATAATTAAATTTGGGTGTACAAACGCCTCCATTGTCGAAATCCATCTTGGTATTTTCATGTAAGTTCTTAATTTTACCTTTTCCCATGACAAAAGCAGTACATTTTGAAAGTATTTGTGAATTTTGTTCTTCCCATGCCATCCAAGTTGTAGGTCATGCTCTTCTAGGTATAATAGTCTTTTATTTCTAAGAGTTATCCATTCTTTTAACCATGTTAGTGCAGCTGCTTGATAGTACAAGACCCAGTCTGGTAGGCCAAAGTCTCCATTTTCTTTTGCTTCTTATAACATTTTCAG